AAGACAAGCAGAATATAACTGCAGGCGTCAGTCAACCTATATGAATGTTTGTTCTTGGATGCGATGCATGTTTTGTGTTTGACAGTAAATAGTACCTTAATGAGTGCTGAATTAGTAACTGGGTGTGCCTGATTGGATTACATGAGACTTACAGGAACTGAATGAAGATTGAAACTTGTGTTCCAAGATTGTATGTATTTGTTGTTTATATGTATCTCATATCATCTGACCAATTTTGTGTTTTTGTTTTTTTTACAGCTGTAATAGCCACATCCACCACAAGCACAAACTCAACCAGTGATTCAACAGATACCCCAATCACTGATAATATTGGTAAGGGCACACACACACACACGCTTCCAATACAAAACATCAGCTAGTTCAGTCATTACAATTTTTTATTTAATTCCAGTTACAGATGAAGTTATCATATCAGGCATTATTATTATATACGTATATATATATATATATATATATATACTAACACATAAACCAACCTCAGCTACCTCAATAAAATATTCTTGCTAATATGCTGGTGCTTCAGAAGCAGAACTCTTTTATCATAATATATTTGATCGTTCTTTTAAGTAAAAACTATTTTGTACAAAATTATTTCGTTTTCTCATTCAAGTCATTTAAAGTTCAGTCATTCAGTCCTCAGCTTGAATCCTCACCCAAGCTTTGCATATGCTTCTGAAAACAATTGAACCAGAACATGTCTGCATTGTTCAACTTGTGCCATTTCTTATTTTATAACTGGATCCTTTCTCTTGTTGTTTTACTGTCTTTTGTGTGTTTAATGAAGTACAAATGGGCTTTAAGCATTTTAGAGGAGCAACTATTACCTATAGCTAAATATAAATTATTGGAAGAGGCTATTTGCACTTAGTGCAAAAGCGATATATGCTATTTACACTAAGTATAAATGGCAATAGATTATTTTTACACTAAGTGCAAATAGCAATAGACAAAAGTTACTGTCACACTCCTTCCTGCTCCACCAGTACTGCTATTTGATGGGAGTCTTTTGTAATGTTGTCTAGCTCAACCACACAGTGGTGGGCGGAGTTAGTATAAATAGCCTCTGCCAACAAGGCAGAGAATAGACACTCCGATAAATATTAGCACACTCTAGTTGAAGAATTAAGTTTAAAGACCTTTTGTTTTGACACATAGGTCATTTTTATTTATCTACAGCTTAATTCAGATATTTGTTCACTCTCACATGCTCATTTCCATAGTAATACCAAATATGTTACAAATAGCATGCTATACACTCTAAAAAAAAAACAAGAAAAAAAACAATTTGGGTTGTTTTGAAACCTATGGCTGGTTCAATATGGAATATTTTGATCTAGGATGTCGGATTTAACCCTGCATAATTGGTTGATTTATGCTAATTCAACTTACACCTACTGATATCCCGTCCCTGTATGTAGCGTTGCATAAAATGCACAGTAAAGACTTTATAGATTAAATAAAATGTATACAAACCTTTATTTTCCCGAATAAATGCACCAGTTAAGTGGCGCTGAGAATAGCTCTCTCCTGAAGAGGATGTAAAAAGCCCACACTCTTTACCTCATCAGCTGGGTTGTATGCTGCGTTCCATTTACCTCAGATGTCGTATGTCTTAGTTGGGAACGATGTCATACCTAAGATGACCATATTCCAGTACAAAAGTCGGACGCATCCATTGTTGGCAACACCAGTCTATAAAATACATAAAATGCATAATACCAAAGTATCATGTCCACAGATAGAGGTTAGATTAGTACTGGGTGTATTGCTGGGGCAGTCGTGGCTTAATGGTTATAATGTCGGACTTGTATCCTAAAGGTCGCGTATTCGAGTCACTGGTACCGGCAGGGATTGTAGACGTCACTTTCACTATTGTTTCAGCTGTCAGTGAGACTGACCCAGCCAACTAATCCAACGGCTGGGTAACACAAAAAACTACTACTAATATACACACATATATATATACACACACACATACATACATACCCTCAGATTAAGTATGTCTAGCATGAATGATATATAATTTCAAACTTCTATATGACTTGAGACCCTTCAGACCAAATAATCAGGAGAGCAGTGGCACACCTGAGCAGAACAAAGGTATCTTTAGTCATGTTTTAAACTATTAAAACACGAAAACTGCAAAAAGCAACTAAATAGCCAAAGACATCCATCTAGCATATTTGTATAGAAAAACAATAAAAAAAACAGTGCAGGCTGACACACACACAAAAAACTTGTATAATGACTGCGTGACACATGCTCAGATAGGGATTTTTAATTTTATGTTGCTTCTCAAATCTTTATGCAATCATCTTTTTTTCTGTTTCTGATCATTTGTTTGTGGTTGACAACAGCAGTAACAAGCATTCCATCTGAGAATACAACTACACCATTCGCAAACAATGCCACAACCCCACTGCTGTCAACGCATGCTAGCAATGTCACATCTCCACCTTTATCTACTCAAGGCAACGTGACAAGCTTATCTACAGTTGTACCAGAAAACGCTACCAGTTCATCAGCGATTACACCAGGAATTGCCACAGCTTCACCTGCACCTGTAACAACAGCAGCAGCCAGCACCACAAGTCCACTTGTGCCTACACCAGAGAATGCTACAAACCATCCTGTAACTTCACCAGACAATGCCACAACTGGTCCTTTACCTGAGCCAGGCAACAGCACAAACACACTCCAAACTACAAGAGGCAATGGCACTACTCCTCCCATTAGCACACCAAGCAACAGCACAGCTTCACCAATGACAACACCAAACAATGTCACAATTACAACACAGACTACACCAGGTAATGCTACAACAGCAAACCATGCCACAACTCCACCCTTAACCACATATATTTCAAATCAAAGTACCCCAGGGAATAATGCAACAGTAAATGCTACCACACCACCCATAACTACACCAGTAAATGCAACTGCACCACCTACAATTACACCAGGGAACAATGCAACAGTAAACGCTACTACACCACCCATAACTACACCAGTAAATGCAACTGCACCACCTCCAACTACAACAGGGAACAATGCAATAGTAAACACTACCACACATAGAAAAACAATAAAAAAAACAGTGCAGGCTGACACACACACAAAAAACTTGTATAAAGACTGCGTGACACATGCTCAGATAGGGATTTTTAATTTTATGTTGCTTCTCACATCTTTATGCAATCATCTTTTTTTCTGTTTCTGATCATTTGTTTGTGGTTGACAACAGCAGTAACAAGCATTCCATCTGAGAATACAACTACACCATTCGCAAACAATGCCACAACCCCACTGCTGTCAACGCATGCTAGCAATGTCACATCTCCACCTTTATCTACTCAAGGCAACGTGACAAGCTTATCTACAGTTGTACCAGAAAACGCTACCAGTTCATCAGCGATTACACCAGGAATTGCCACAGCTTCACCTGCACCTGTAACAACAGCAGCAGCCAGCACCACAAGTCCACTTGTGCCTACACCAGAGAATGCTACAAACCATCCTGTAACTTCACCAGACAATGCCACAACTGGTCCTTTACCTGAGCCAGGCAACAGCACAAACCCACTCCAAACTACAAGAGGCAATGGCACTACTCCTCCCATTAGCACACCAAGCAACAGCACAGCTTCACCAATTACAACACCAAACAATGTCACAATTACAACACAGACTACACCAGGTAATGCTACAACAGCAAACCATGCCACAACACCACCCTTAACCACATATATTTCAAATCAAAGTACACCAGGGAATAATGCAACAGTAAATGCTACCATACCACCCCTGACTACACCAGTAAATGCTACTGCACAACCTCAAACTACACCAGGGAACAATGCAACAGTAAACGCTACTACACCACCCATAACTACACCAGTAAATGCAACTGCACCACCTACAATTACACCAGGGAACAATGCAACAGTAAACGCTACTACACCACACCAGTGAACAATGCAACAGTAAATGCTACTACACCACCCATAACTACACTCGAGAATAATGCAACAGTAAACGTTACCACAACACGCATGACTACACCAGTAAATGCTACTATACCACCTTTAACTACACCAGAGAATAATGCAACAGTAAATGCTACTACACCACCCATAATTACACTCGAGAATAATGCAACAGTAAACGTTACCACAACACCCATGACTACACCAGTAAGTGCTACTATACCACTTCTAACTACATCAGTTAATAACACAATAGTTAATGCTACCACACCACCCATGACTACACCAGGGAATAATGCAACAACAAAAGTAA